AGAAAAATATAACAAAAGTATTTTTCTAGTTTGTTCCCATACTTTGGTTATATTTAATGATATAATTTATATCATGTTATTAGTCTTAAATTTTCGTCTCCCTGTCATTACTCTTTTATAATAAGAAAATTATTAAAATTAAGATATAATCATAAAATTAAAATAGAAATAAAAAAAATTATTTCCTTTAAAATATAAAAAAATAACTATTATTTTAAGATAAATTCTAAATAAAAAAATGCTTATTATTCTCGGATGTAAGGAGTACATTTTAACTTTACTCTATTTGTTCCAAAATAATTATCACTCTATAATTTCAAATTTGTCTCAAATTAATTTTTTTTATTTTTCGAGGTAAACAGATATATTTTTTTACTTTAACCTTAGTATTATCTATTTACTTTAATTAATCATTCCATCACAAAATGTTTCTCTTCATCTTTGATTTTTTTTTTAAAGGTAATATAAGTAAACATAAATTATCCTCGAATTCTTAATTTGAAAAAAAAAAAACCAAAAGTCATTTTGAGAAAGAGATAATACAAATACAATTAATTTTTTGAACTAAATAAAAAAAGAAATGATATAATTTTATCCTAATAATGACAATGATGAATTTTTTAGTTGTTAATCAAAATTAAAAGATTTAAATTTATTCAAAAATTAAAAAAAAATCTTACTAAGAAAGTAAAATGATTTGGATATAAAACTTAATTAAAAATTTTGTGAAGTTTTTGCGGTTAAAGTGTAATTTTCCAGAACTTTATGTGCCACATAATTGGTGCCACGTAAGCATGCCATGGGATTCCATTAAAAAAGCTAACGGCAGTTTTTTAGGTAGATGATTTTGAAAGAAACTAAATTTTCTAGACTAAAATGAAAAGAGATTAATAGTTAGTAGATGAAAAATTAAATTTAGCCCATTTTTTTTAATATGAATAGGTATTTGATTTTAACCATCAATTTCATTTTTCCCCTAATTATGTTTTATCTTTTTTCTAATTTTAATACTTTGTAGAGGTAAATTAATTGCAAAAGATATGAAACATGTATTTCTTGATCAAATTCATTCAATAAGGAAGATTGGAGTATTAAAGTGTAAATATGTAAATTGTGTAATGTTTTTAGTTTGAAACATGATAGGGGCCATCTAACTCCTGAAATGGTTTTGGTCGATGAGAAGGTAATTTTATAATTTTTTTTTTTTGATATTGGTTGAACAATGGAAAACAACCATCCCACATCCCTCAATCCGTTACACCACATGCCATACAATTTGAACTTAAAACCTCTTATTTCCAATAAAAGAAAATTACCATTGAGTTATTTTAAGTTGTTGACTAATTTTATAAGTTATTACATTTGGTCTTTTAGGTATTTAATGAATTAATAATAATTATTTGTTTGTAAAAAATTTTTATTTATGCTATAATTTAGAATTCTAATATTTTATGATTTAAGAACAAGTTGGTCGAAGGGAACGTTTATTTCTTGAAAAATTTTTCTATAAAAAAGAATAAGAACACATATCATATTATCTTTTATAACAATTATAGGATCCAATTCTATCTTGATATTATTGTCAAAGAATTGAATGAAGAAGTTACAATAATCTCAAAATTTGTATTTAAACTCATTGACTATGAAAAACTTATCGAGAAAAAGAAAAAATGCCTTTGAGGTGTTTTTTTAAAATTTTAATATAATTTTATTAAATGAACATGTAATTTATTTTTATTTAAAATATTTTGATCAAATTCAGTTTGCCTCAGCAGCATTTCAAGAAATATTTTAAATGTCGCTAATATACTAATTTATTTGTTATTGTATAATTTTTAACTGCCACTGCCTGAATTTGAAGCTAAAGCCTTCGTATATTCATCACTGGGGTATGCATTCATGCTAGTAATTATTGAAGTCAAACATATATATTAGGAAAAACAGAGAAAATGTTAAATTTGGTATGTTTTCAATGGTTAACTATCTTTTTTGTTAATAGGAATTTTATATGAGGAAATTTTACGGAGATCCTGACCAAAGCCAATAATGTGATTTTTTTTTTTAATTTTTTGGCTCCGCTATAACTTTCTATAATATTCTGGTCAATGTCCTGCTTAGTTTTTACCTTTGCCTGTCAAAAGTTTATAATGGAGTATACTTAACGAGGTAGAGTTTGCTTAACCAAGCTTTTAATGCCTTACAATTTCTTTCCAGGTGTGCTGGACTCAATTTATGGGTGTAATAGATTTAGGTGCAAGGATTTTGAGCTTGGTATGTTATGTAACTTTAGCTGAATCCGTGGATCATCTGAACTGAACAAGAGATGCAGGCAGCTGACTTTCAGTTGGAATGAAGAACTTACAGGTTCCTTTTTCTTTTTCTTTTTAATCTATTTCTTTCCTCAGTCACTTAAGTAGTTGCTTTCATCACTGAGTCTCACACTTACAGGTGACACCACTCTTCACCACTATAAGCTCAGAACTGAATCATGCCTTGGTTGCTTTAGATCTCAACTTGGTTTCCTTTTGCCGTTTTCTTTTTTAGCGTCTATTCTGCTCTTCTTCTCACCGGATTTTGTGCCTTTTTGCCCCCTCTCCATTACATTTATTATTATTTCTCTTTGTATGGGTATATATTAGGGCACTTAACAGTTAAAATAGCCTAACTAGCAGTCTAACTTCCTGGAAATTACATATCAAAGGCCCGTTAATCACTAGCTTGCATAGCATATATTTGTGCTCATCGCTTAAGATAAAGAGCATGTCTTTTGGATTACAGAGCACACAAGAAGTAAAATCCTCTCAAGCTTCACATGAATCACAAATGACCACCAGAATAATCAAACAGTAGAGGCTCAAGCAATGATAACAGAAAAGTTTCACGCCAAGATATTGAACTTGTGAGGTGCAAATATCTTCTTGGGGTTTATCTATTTGCTGATTTTATTATGTTTTCTTAATGTAATTGTTTGCTTTCATTGATTCTTGATTATTGCTGGTGATGGAAATTTCTTTGAAATGGTTTTTACAGGTCCAGAATTTAATAGAACGGTGTTTGCAGTTGTATATGAATAGAGATGAGGTGGTCAAAAT